AAAGACACACTGGTTCTTCCCAGGCACCCCCTTGAACAAGATATGACAAGATCATAGAAGATTTGCCTTGTAAAAACCAAGAATACCCCAGATAGCCCCAGCGCCAAATGAAGCAACAGCATTCGTTGTTTCTAGGCTAAAGCGCTGGCTTCCTCAAGAAAGCCTTGGCTTGCTCCAAATGCCATCAAATGGCTCCCGGAACCAGTCTTTGCCAGCGCTTGCTGAGGCACATGAAGGATCGTGAAAGAGATACCTGTCGCTAGAACACCTGTTGCAGGACTGCAAGGGGAGCCACGGCGCTATAGGGAACATGCCTGTCGGTGCTCGAGAAAGTCTTAAAGCACGATTATAACATATTGCAACCCACGAAAGCAAACAATGGCATGACACGTCCACCCCGACCTTCGAGGTGGACGCTTCTTCTGGCACCTTTTGCTTTGGCCTTGGACTGCTATGACGGGACACGGCAGGACATGGCAGGACCAAAGAGGGCACCATAAGGCACGTGAGGGCATGCAACGGCGTAATGAGAAACACCATGAAACCAGGACATGACAGGACCAAAGAGGGCACGATAGGGCACGCGCGGGCGCGCAACGGCATCATGAGAAACACCATGAAGCACCAAAAGAAAGCCTTGCAGGTGTAACAGGCAGAGAAAATGGTATGGAAAAGCGATGGAAGGCCTTGCAAGTGCAACTATGTTTTCCGCTGGCAACTGTGAGGATCCTCGAGGAATTAATCACATGCAATAACATGCATAAGTTTTTGTTGGCAACAGATAACATGCTCTGTTATGGCGTTCGAAACTTGTCAAAAAACTCGTGGCCCACGAAAGCAAGCAACGGCGCAAAAAAGACCCGCCTACACAGTGGAGGTGGGCGCTGCTTCTGGTATCTTCTGGCACTTTCGCTGCTCCGGCCTGGGCTTCACACGGCGCTAGCCGCTGCTTTTTTTCACATCCTTGGGACATCTTGGGACCCCTCGGAACAGCCATGAAGAGCTAGTGGTCAGCATCGGACATCTGACAAACACCGAAAGATGCCGAAACCATGAGCCCCAAACTGTCTGAAGCAAGCGCGACCCATGATAGTGAAACATAGCAAAATTTAGCAAACAACCCCGCACCCTCAAATTCCAAAGGCTGTTGAAAAAATAGTCGAGGGAGCTCAACCGTTGTTTGGCCAAAAGGCCGGTTTTTGCACCTACCCAAAAGACAGTCGTTGCCCAGCAATTTCTTGCCCTTTTTGGGCCTAAATGTCAATGTTCGATGATGCTCTATGCAAGGTGGAAAAACCGTCGAAAGCCGTTTAAAAAACGGTCGTTCGAAACAAACGGCCGAGGCTGCTTTAAAAACAGTCGAGGAAGCCCAGGGCACAAACGTCCACCCAAGCCTCCGAGGTGCACGCTTCTTCTGGCACCTTTTGCTTTGGCCTTGGACTGCTATGACAGGACACGGCAGGACATGGCAGGACCAAAGAGGGCACGATAGGGCACGTGAACACATGAAACCAGGACATAACAGGACCAAAGAGGGCACGATAGGGCACGCGCGGGCGCGCAACGGCATGATGAGAAACAGCATGAAGCACCAAAAGAAAGCCTTGCAGGTGTAACAAGCAGAGAAATGGCATGGAAAAGCCATGGAAGGCCTTGCAAGTGCAACTATGTTTTCCACTGGCAACATCTTGTAACTGTGGGGATCCTCGAGGACACTCAGTAACATGCAATAACATGTAGGGGGCACTGGTGGCGCAGGTGGCACTGGTGGTGTATGTGGTGTTGGCAGAACGGGTGGTGCTGGTGGCACTGGCGGTGATGGCAAGGGTGGTGGAGGAGGTGGAACTGGTTTAACTTTGATCTTCTTCGTCAGCTTTCTCACCTTCTTCTTGGCCATGGCAAAACCAAGGCGCGTTCCACGTTGCCACTGTGCAAACAGGTTTGATGGTGGCCTGGGCCGCTTTTGTTTGTGAGTGTAACAAAGCTGTAGCATACAAGACCGTATAAGGGGCTCAAATTTATAGGTTGCACACGAGTCCGATGCGGCACCGATGAACAGCACCAAAACTTGTGGTTCAATGCGCCGCTTGCACACCACTTCAATCATAAATGCCAGTCACATGCCGCCAAGGCGCCACGCACAGCCGGGGCCAAGATACGAGCTACAGTACTGGCCTGGCGCTGGCAAGGCTTTCTTGCGTGACAAAGGGCAAGCCCCGGTGGTTTGCAATGCGTGATCCTGAGCCATGCCTGGCAACAAACCACCGGGCGCCCCGAGCCAATCAGGGCATTTCGCCATGGTCTGGCCAAGGCGCTAATCTCGTGATGAAATCGGAAAGATGTAAGTAAAAGTGGCAGGCTATTGGGGCTGCAGTCGCAAAGCAGATCGCGCACCTCTTTACCTTTACCAAGATTCAAGGTGGTTGAAATCAGTTCTTCAAGATTCAAGATGGTCATCCAACAGACACTAGCTAACAACTTTGCCCGACAAAGCAGTCCAGCCAGCCTTCTGTCTGCCAAAGCTGAAACAATCTGAAACAAACGCTGCTTGGCGATTGTTGATTGATTGGAAGTTACCATGGCAGGCGCCTTTTAACAGGCACCGTGGATTTCTTTCATTACGCTTCCTTCCAAAACCAACTCACAATGAAAGAGCCCTCACCTTTGACACGCAGCCACTGATTTTATCTACAACCTCCCACGCCGGATACTCCATCACAGTGGCTCGCTGGGAGGAGTTGCGCGCCAGAAGCGTCGGGGTGAAGGCAGGCACCTGGGTGAATCCCCAGGGCTAACGTGCTTACAAAAAGAATCGAAGGATCCAAGCACCTGCATGCAGTTTCCAATGCAGAAGAAAAAACAACTTTGGGCGTTCCAGCCTGTTTTTGTCCCCAAAGCGGACTTGATTCGCAAACGAAACCAGCCCGCGGCCAACCAACCGTACCCTGAGCCGAGGCGCGCCGAAGCCATAGAGAGCACCGCCAGCAGCACCCGTCAGCCAAATGCCATGCGTAGCACGGGGTTGTCAACTTCGGGTGGGTAACTCCTTTCAGTGGGAATGAGATCATCTTAACTAGGGGATTCCTTAGACCAATATGGCCCCCTCCCGCTTTATCCGAAATTAACGAATTAACACTACCAGGTGCCTCACAAGGGTAACCGGACATGAAGCCTGGCATTTAATTTGAACGTGTTCCCAAATTTAAGACAAACATACGTTCCAAACACCATCCCGTCCACTACTTAGTCCTTATCCGCGTGTTGCAAAAGAAGCCAGCTCCCCTTCCAGGTTGCGCCAGCGTAACACAGAACACGGAAGGAGGCCCAGAGTGTCACGGAAATCCAACGCAAATGCAGTTCCCCGACACTGCTACAATGCCAAACATGTTTTGTATTTGCAGGCTACCCCCTCTAACGTGGCCTCATTTAGGCTATACAGGTTCTCTTCCTTGACAAAAAAGATCAAAACTGGCACTTGTTGACACATCCCCCGCTTGCAATGTGCATCCAGCACTCCTGTAATTGTCAAGAGCCTGTGCCGCCGGGAATGCTTGGCACTTTTTAATAATGTGCTCACAGAACCCTGCGTTCTCTCTTGGGTTTGCGTAAGGCTGCACCTGTGTTTAATGTCAGTTTTTCTCTTAAAGGCGGCATCCCATTGTTTGGGCACTATCTTTAATGTGGCAAAAAGGAAAACACCAAAATCCGAAAATAAACAAACAAACAAACCAAACAAACAAACAAAGAACATGACTCAGAAGCTTTCTTTTCTGTGGTTCTCCTCTGCCTCAGGCCTTCTACATCTAAGCCCTTCTGTCAGAAACTGAAGGAGGGTCCAAAGGAGACCAGTTGACTGGACTTTGAAGTCGTGCCTTTAATCATTCTAACCAAGTTTTGTAGAAACTGCTCACCTGGAACCCGCTCTGTCAACCTCCAATTCTGGGTCCCCCCAGCAAAAAAATGAAAGACATTTCTGGGGTGTCCCCCCCCCTGAAATTTCATTTACAAAAGGGCGGGGATTCCCTACTATATAGTTGACTGCAAGTTGACTCTTCAGCGAAAGCATGCTCTGCAAAAGTCTGCTCTGCACGCACTCATTGGAAATCACCGAGTGTGGGTATGCATCGGGGTTTGTAACGAGGGGCATTTTCATGAACAAAGATATTATGTAACCAGGGGTGTGTAACGAGCCAGCGGGTCTTGTTGCATAGGTCTGCAACGAGGTCTGTAACGAATGCCCGCCGTGGCTAGAATGAGGCATAGACAAAATCAGGGTTTCAGCCCCCTGGGTTGGGATTTCAGCCTATGAGTTTGTGCACGTTACTCTGGAATACCCTCGTCTCCTTTCGGCGAATCCCATTTTGGGGCCCCGTGCTCAGGGAAGCAATGATGGCAACATACGGACAGCACCAACGCTGGATTTGCAGGTAAGACGGAAGGCTCCCCGATGTCCTCCACACAGCTCCCCACTTGCGTCCTTCAGCCCTTGGCTCAGCCTTCTTCGAGAGTCAAGCACGGGCATCAACCGCAGGCAGGCACAAGGTATCTTGGAACCCGCCGGTCATTCAGGTAGTTCTCATTTCTCCTGATTATCATTTCTCATGAAGAATGCCCTCTGCATTAAAGATCCCGAGAGATCTCGGAAGCCTCAAAATCATAACCTGTCCTACCTCCCAACCCCACCAAACACACCTCCAATGTTGATCTATTTTAGGCTTTCCCCAAAGCGGTGATTTCAATTATGTTTTGGAGGGGGGAACGGATACTTGGTAGTCAGAAACCCTGGTAACAGAAGTCCATGGGTTTTTACCGAAGACTCAACCACTTACCTTGACCCAAATCTGAGGTACACAAAAAACGACCTTGGTGTGCCCTTTTTCGGGGGACACCCTTCTTGCTTGGTTTCAAAGGGAACACCACCTTCCTTCTCATTTCTTTCTTTTTGGGGGGGTCCCTACAAAAAAGGGGGGGCAAACGCGTCGACGGAGTTCACTCCCCGCCTTGGGCCAGTTGCAGTCTGAGAAGGTCTCCGGCTGCCGGCGCCTCAAAAAAAAACAACATGTTTGAGACCCATCACTTGAGTCACAAACCCATGGACTGCTCAGTTGCCAGCTGATAATTGCAGCCTGAGCTAGCTTGATCTGAGGGCGACAGGCTGGGCAGGTTGTACGTGCTATAGTGTCCCATGCTCAAACTGCTTGGACATAGGCTGCCTGCTCCAATTGGTCAGAAATTGTGCTGACAACCAGAAGCAATGATAAGCATGAATTGCTTAGCCGCTCACTTCCCACCGTGTCTCTTCTTTGACTGTGTTTGGTCGCCGCTGTCGCCGGGTTTCTCGGAAGGATTTCCGGGAATCTCTCGGGAAGGTTGCTGTTAAGGGAATCCCCAGGTTCATTCCCAACTGAGAAGCTCCCCACTGAGTACCAGCAAGTAGAATGCTCAGGACTTAGATTCATGTACATTGAAGAGGCGGATATCCGCACCCAAATGTATGGCAAGGGGATTGTCCCTTACCCTCCAATTACCCTGTTTTGATTGTGACTCAGTTGCCGTGGGCCTTTTCGTTTTAAAGATCTGCATGACATACCCGCAGTATTCGTGCTGAATTGGTTTCGGCATGCCATACGTATCTAGATGTAGATGCAATTCACAAACTTGAAGCAAATCCGCTAGTAACCTGGTTTAATGGTATCTGGTTTTGGGGTTGCTTGACAGAGCAACCAAAGGGAATCATTTGCGAGGGTAGATCCCTGACCAGAACTTGGACTTCGGGTAAATGATTGTTGAGTATGTTTAGGTTCATCATAATGAATTTTCATTTCTAGGAACCTTCATCATGGATGAGCTCAATGTATCCCCAAGTGAGCTCGTTTTACGGGTGTGACAGTTTTCATTGTATACCTTGTTTTGAGATGGCTTCCCAGCGCAGCCAAAGGGAAATCACCCATTTGGCGAGGGCTTTGCCGTTTGCACACAGGATGCCCAAAAAAACAGTCTTTGATTTGGCCTATGAACATAGTCTGAGGTTTACCAGAACAACTTCAAAAGCATGTTTGGATTATCACAAGAGTTTGCGGTTTCTCCAGGTCAGTGAGGACTCTTGGAGAAAAAAATCACCCCGGTGATGCCAATGGCCAATACCCTCCCTCCCACCAACATAGCACCAGTGAAAGGGTCAGACAATGATTTTCCTCTTTCAATCTGAGTGAGGGCAAGGCTTGTTCCCATCAAAAGGGGTTCCCCCAGCCGGAGGTTTCTCTAAACGGATGGTTTTTTCCCGGTTCCATGTCTCACTTCCTGAGTTGATGGTCCAAAAAAGCAACCACACTTATTCTATGGGCCAAACCCAACAAGTCGAATTGTTTGACCCTGAACTCAGGAGGTGAGAAATGTTAATCTGGGGAGTGTTCTCATCTTGCTGGTGCTCGGTAGGGAATGAGAAATGCAATGAACCTGGGATTCCCTTAAAGGAAACCAGCAGTTGGATGGCTAAATTTTGGGGTCATTCCCTTTCTCATTCCCTGCATCTCTCGCAGCGATCGCAAGTCATGACTTCACTGTTCAGCCATCGGGTCAGCCATCGACAGGTCAGGTTCCCAGGTCCCGCGCCACTCGTGGGTGGCGCCCAGCACGGCACAGCCCAAAGCGCGCCCACCCTGAATCGGACCGCGACCGGGGCCAAGAACATGGGGCGCCCTCAGAAAAGGCACCTTGCTCGAAGTGTGGACCGGCTGGTACTTGGAGAAACAACACACATTCCAACACTGATTTCGATCCACGCCAATGATTGACCTTCCTGGCCCCGAAGAGTGGAAACACACACACGTGTACAACATGTGACTGTTCAACATGTGGATGGGTGTGCGCACAAACAAATGTATAGCCAATACGCTGACAAACAATACTGCTTTTGAAAATGCCCGCTGAAAAGAAGAGCGGGGCACCTCAGTTTCATGCTTTCCGGAAGGAATCCCGTGACCTTGCAATAGATTCATCAAGAAGCCCGTAGCTCCGTGGGTGCCCGTATCTGCGGGACATGCCCAAAGATTGCTATGGTGGATGCCCCAAATACTGTACTGCAAGTATGGGAACTTCCCAACCCAACCTCCCAATGTAATGGTTTCCGAGACAAATCGAAGATCAAAATGCCAGTAACAGCATCCGAAACAAGGATGGACAAGTCATTCATGACACGCTCCGAGTGGGCATTCAAGAAGCCTCTGGTGGCTCAATTTTGCCGCAGGTACGACGCAATCAAAACCTGGGACTAAAGCGGTCTGTAAAGAATGAAGAGACGGCCATCCTCTACTAACCTTCACACCCCCGGGCATTGATTTGTGGCTCAGGTGTTGACAAATTGTGCGCTCTCGGCGTCGTTGATATTGGAGTGTCCAACCAAACATCTGCAAAGGGCAAGCGAGAGATAAAGTGCAACGTCCCTGGCCCTAGCAGGCAGCTTGCAAAAGAAATGCCACAGTGCTTATCACTTCTTTCTAATGCATTGTGCATGGTTGTCATGTTTCCCTTCAATAGGGATCGACTCTATTGAGTTGATGATCATCCTCATTTAACACAAGCAAGCAGGTCTGTCAACCATGGCCACCCACTCCCTTGATCTAGACACGAGCAAGTCGATGTATGGGGCGGAGGGGCCCTTTGGGGGCGTTTCAAACGCATAGGGCATGAGCCGGGGTTGATGTTCCCGTGTCGTCCACGCGAAAAGGAGTTTGATGAGTCAACACGAGGATCTTGGCCGAGCGCAGGGGCTACGATCGACAGGATCTTCTTGCGCAACAAGGCCGATTTGGTCATGATGGCCTCAGCACGTCTCACAGCATCCATTCATTTGCTTGAAGGCTTGTCGTCTAGGAGTGTCCGAATGCTGGGGGTTGAGGATGCCAATCATGATGTTAAGGGCAGTCTTGATTTAGCGGCATGTCAACAAGGCAATTGGAGAAACATGCGGCATGCGTACCTGCTGGACAATGGTGAACGAATGTTGCTTGATCGGAGTCAGCCAAGGTGCAGCAATTTGGTGAGCCCTTGCGCATGACGTTGTGTTGAGCCCATCCGAAAATGCTAGTGCTAGTTGTCTAGTTGTCAACAGGTGCCCACTCTGTCAGACTAGCAACTTGCAGAGCAAAAATCATAGGACTCGAGCACCAAAGCAAAGAACATATCAACTTTTGCGGGTTTGCAAACACCTGAAGAAAACAACAAATCAAGCAACATTCGATGCGTTATGCAAAGGACCTCCGGCAATGATGATCTCTGCTGAACGGGTAAGTTGGACATGTCCCCTTCGGCGCTTGGCCCATTACTATGCAATCAGTTGCCTGCAGGTAAGCAAACAGACTTAAGAAATGGTGGAGAGGCCGAGAGAAAGGTGCAGTGAAAACAAGAAAGAAACAAAACATGACAATCCCAATCCCTAGTGGCTTTTCCTTTTCCTCTCTATCTGCCAATGCTCTCTCAAACCATCATTGAGGACGGGCTGAAGGATAGAGCTCGTCTGGGCTGCCGTGCCATTCGTTGCCGCCGTTCCGGCCGGCCGGCCTAAGACCAAAAGCACGCGGCTGAGGTTGGAGGAACCCCACTGCTGACGCAGCGGATGTCGCGAAGGGCGAGCTAATGTCAATCAGGCAAGATGCCCTTTGGTGGCAACAAGACGCTCTTCGGGAGGTTTTGTTGGAAAACACTGAGCGAATCACTTAGCCAAAAAGCCAGCAAGCAAGGTTGAGCAGGCCTGAGTCCTGAACCCGAACAGGAATTCAAAGCAGGAAAGGAGTTTGTGCACAAATACATAAATGGTGCCCTTTGGTTTTCTTTTGGTTGCCCTTTGAAGCAACCTAACACACGTACCCTCACAAGACCCAACGTGGGAACTCCTCGGAAACAGGATCTCCCAGCTGCCATTGCGACCATGGCAAACCCCATGCGATGCGGGGGACATACTACAGGCCCAACTCACGTGGAGGCTAACCAGCAATGCGTTTCGAGAGGAACTTTTCTTGAGGGTACCCTTTTTGGGGGGCGGGTATTCAAGCGAAACCAAAAGGAAAAAAACACAAATTGTTTCTGTCTATGTTTTTTTTGGGGGGGGCGGGGCGGGGGGGTACACACCCATCTCGCAAAGGGGACTCAAGAGCTTCCATGCTAGC